TTGCTCAAGTCAGCTGCACCCCTCACAGCACTGTACTCCAAACCCACTGATGCCGTTGCACTCACATAGCGGACCAACCTCTTGGCCGCTTCCAGCTGCTCATGACTGGGGCGTGAAACCACACTGGCAAGCCTAGATGTTGCAAAGGCAATGTCAGGCCGTGTGTGGTTAGCCGCATAGTTGAGTGCCCCAACCATGGAATGAAAAAGTTTCCTGTCACTCTCACCCACCACCTCCTCATCAACACAGGGCTCCACAGTGAACCCCGAAGGCAGTGGGGTGGCTGGCTTTCCTCCATCTTGCAGCCCATACTTCTCAGCCAGCCCCTCACAATACTTTCTCTGGTGCAACCTCAACACTCCCTTGTCAAGGTCCCTCTCCACATGCATCCCAAGGTAGTACTTCACATCTCCCATCTTGGAGCACTTGAACTGCATTTCCAGCATCTCCTCCACACGTTCAATCATTGCAGACGACTCAGAGAAGAGCAGGATGTCGTCCACGTACACCAGGAGCATGAGGAAGTGCTCCTTCTCTTGCAGCAGGAACAGGCTGTGATCACACTCGCTCTTCTTGAACCCCCCGGCCAGCAGTGTCTCCTCCAGCTTGTGGTACCATGCGCGAGGAGCCTGCTTCAGGCAATAGATGGCCTTCTTGAGCCTGCACACCCTGCAGCTCCCATCATCCAACCCCTCAGGCTGCAGCATGTACAGCTCCTCCAGAATGATTCCATTGAGGAATGCAGTGATTATGTCCATTTGCTTGATCTTCCAGCCACGGTGTGCAGCCATTGCCAACATCGTCCTCAGAGTAGTGCCTTTCCCTACAAGAGCAAAGATATCATCAAAATCCTTCCCCTTTGTCTGTTGGAACCCCTTAGCCACAAGCCTTGACTTGTAGCGGGTCAGCTCCCCATCGGGTCCGTACTTATGCCTGAAGATCAGCTTGGAAGAAATGGCCTTCTTCCCAGGTGGCAGCTCACACAGCTCCCACGTCTCAATCCCCAGCAGAGAGTCATACTCCTCCTTCACACTCTGCTTCCACTTCTCAGCGTCGGGCCCGCTCAATGCCTCGGCTAACGTCTTGGGCTCAGGGACGGCTGCCCAGTAGCAGTGTGCTATCTCATCCTCATCACACTACTCAGCCACACTCCCAGCCCGTACCACCTTTGGCTTGCCAAAGCTCGGATAGGTCAGCCGGTTAGGAGGGTGCACTTCCCTCCGGGGACGGTCAGCCGGACGCGCGGCACCTTGTGGAGCACCTTGCTGCTGCTGCTGTGGCTGCTGCTGCTGCTGCTGCTGCTCCTCCACCTCAGGTTCTCCCCCATCCTCAGTCACCCCAGAAATCTCCTCCTCTGAGACAGTGACCTGCACTTGCCTCGAAGGCCGCTGCACCTCATTAGCCTCAATGATCAGCGGTGTAGTGGGAAGCTTCTTCTGCTGCTGCTTCCACTCCTTGTAGTACAAGGACTCAAGGAACTTCACATCCCTCGACACAGTCAGCTGCTGGCTGGTCAAGTCCCAAATCAGCCAGCCCTTGTGATCCTTAGCAAGCCCCAAGTGCACACCCCATCTCCCAGAAGCTTCCAGTTTTCCCCTCTTCTCCATAGGCACATGAAACACCACCATACAGCCATAAGTTCTCAGCATGTTGACTGCAGGCACACTCCCATACCACTTGGTGTAGGGGACCCATTGCTTGTCCCCCACAGTCGCCAGCACCCGGTTCTTCACAACAACGACCTGCCGCAGTGCTGTCACCCAAAATGGATCCGGCAACCCTGCACGCCCAAGGAGAGTGCGAGCACCTTCCTGCAGGGTCCGGTTGAACCGCTCAGCCACGCCATTCTACTGAGGGTTGTAAGGCACTGTGAGCTGATGCTGGATCCCCTTCCGCTTCAGCTCCTTCTCAAAATCAGCGCCGATGAACTCTCCTCCGTTGTCAGTGCGGATCACCTTCACCTTGTGTCCGCTCTCCCTTTGTGCTCTCGGCATCCACTCCTTAAGAACAGCCGCTGCCACCTCCCCCTTAGTCTTGAGAGGGTACACCCACACCGCACGCGTGTGGTCGTCCACAATTGTCAAGAAGTAGCGGCTGCCCGAGAGAGAAAGGGCCCTCGTGGGGCCCACCACATCCATGTGCACTAGTGCAAGTGGTGCCTTTGCTGGTCCTGTGCTGCTGCTGAAGGGAAACTTCGTGAGGTAGGGCAGCTCCCAATCTCCTTTGCTCCCCCCTTCACCTCCAGCCCCTTCAAGCACCCATCCCTTACCAACTTCTGCAGCATAGGAATGTTCACATGGCACAGCCTCTCATGCCACGTCTCCCAATCAGCCTCACCACTCCCAGATGAAGCCTTTGCCCATGCAGCTGTCGCATCCACACCAGCAAGCACCTCACCATGTGGCTGTTGTGGCTGCTGCACCTTCTTGATTGCATCCAAGGCCCCATCAGTTGGTGCAGTCTCCTCTCCTCCCGCAGTTGCTTTAGCCGCTGCCGCTGCCTTTGCCGTTGCTGGTGGTTTCCCCTTCCAAGGGATGATGGGCAGCTGCCACAAGTCCTTGATGCAGCTGCTCTTCTCCCAAGCTTTGCACGGCAGCTGGTTGGGCCGAACGTAACTTTGGCCTTGCTTTTCTGCAGCCGGCACACAGAGAGGAGGTTAGCGGATAAACCTTCAACCAACAGCACATTTCCCAGCCCCACAAGCCCCCCATTAGCTCCCATAACCTTGGCATTCCCAACACCAATCACAGGGAGCAAGGCACCTGAAGCGGCAGCCACAAACTTTATCTTCCCAGGGGGCTTCACCTCATCAAGCAAATCTGCCCGTGGAGTCATGTGACTCGTGCAACCTGAATCGATCACCCAGTGAGTGAGGGGGTGCATCACAACCTTCCCAACTGAACCCACATCACCCCCACTTCCTTGCACGTCCTCAACCATGAGGAACATACCAGGGTCGGCTTTACCTTGAACACCATCACCTTGTGCACCTGAACCTTGCACAGCACCACCTCGTGCACGTTCACCACTTGGCGGCTTCATGCCTGGAGGCGCCCATCCTTCAGGCCGGCTGAAACACTTGAACCATGGGTGTCCAGCCTTCTTGCAGTACCAGCACGCACCCTCCATTCGGGTACTCCCCCTGCCACCAGAGCTCCCATGCCCCTCATTGTAGTCACCTCGGCCTCTCCCTCTGCCAAAGCCTCTCCCACGGCCTCGGCCTCTCCCTCCCCCTCTCCGTCTGCTGCCTCCTGCAGCTCCATACCCCTCAGCAGTTTTGTTGGCAGCACCACCTCCAGTGTGGCGCCTGCGGAAGTCCTCCTGCAGGATCTGCTGCCGTAGCCACTCAGGCGTCCATTTGTCCTGCTGAACGTTGAGGGTGGGGATGAGGTTGTCCCACGAGTTGTCGAGCACCGAGATGATCTTGGTGCACTGCTGCATCTGCGACACTTCGTTGCCCGCCGCTGCCATCCTCGCATAGGTGTCCTTGATCTTGTCAAGGACCGGCTTCACATCATCTCCCGGCCGCATGGAGAGGGCAGCCAACTCCTTCTCCAATACGATCACCATCGGCAGCGTGTTGGGTTGAACCACGTCGCGTAGCAGCTTCCACGCCTTCGGTCCCGAGTCATCGAGCTCCACCAAATCCTTGATATGCTGGAACATGTCGTTGTTGACCGACTGTAGAATCAAGTCGTACAGCACCGCGCTCCGCTCAATCCACCGATCGCGGGCATCTCCTTCCTCCGGCATCTTCTCTTCTCCCATAGCCAATTTTAGCAGCTTGTAGCGCTTGAAGGCGCTCCTCATCCGCCCACTCCATTCCTCATAGTTGGAGCCATCCTATGCCTCAATCTTGGATGGTGGCGGCTCACTCTTCTTCTCAGCTGCTTCTCCACTCCCTTGACTCATCTCCTCTTCTCCCAATCAGAGGTTTCAGCTCCCCCTTTTGCTGGTCAATATGTAGATCCACACAATCTTCACAATTGTCGGCGCCAACGAAATTTCGGCAGAGTTTCCCCTTAGCGGAAGTCACATTCAACCTCCAGAACTCCACTTAGGCACGCCCACAGGCCATGGTGGGTCTAGGAGGGTCTTCACACTTCAGTAGACTCTCCACAAAGTCCTTAATCTGCTCTGATACCACTTGCTAAAGACTAAGGATCGAGTCCGTGAAGATTAGGAGCCTAAATTTTTCAAAATCGTTGGCTTGAAATTCTGGACAGAAACCGCGACTTCACAAGAAACGTTGTCGACGTAAAGTGCACTGTTAGAATTGTCTCAAACTCGAGTATGTTATAGCCCTTGATTGTGGCTATCATTCCCAATTTAAATCGTATCGAAAGGTGGAGTAAATCTCGAGTTATGCTTCTCGGCGGACCAGGGGGTATGCTGCCACATAGAAATTAAATTCACTCACAATAGTTTCACAAGTTCACAAGAGTTGGAGTAGCACTAAACCAGATAGGAGGAAAGAGGAGGAAGAGAGGAAGGTCCCAAGGAGTCCCCAATCAAAGAAAACTCCATGCCACACAATTCCCTTTCCCATAGGCAACCCAACTTTGACCTTTGTCACTATCCCAACCTCCACAATCCACCTCAACCCAACTTGGCCACACTTGCCAACCTGGTTTGGTTTCTCCCAACCAATTGGCAGCAACTACAGTAGTAGTGACGAGTTTCCCAACCCCCAAAAGTCTGTACCCCATATTGAGTCAACCCCACAACTCTCCATGGTCACCACAACCAAATATCAAAAGCATACGAACTCCAACGTTCATAACTTTCTTGTTCGTGCTCCAATTGAAGTGATTCTTGGTTCGTCGGAAAGCTCTTGAGCAGTGGAGTCACTTCAGATATCTGCTCAAGCCAAATAACATTCACACACACTCAGAAAATCCAGACCACAGAAAACACAAATTCTTGCGCACGCTCATTTCACACATGCAACGCACGAACACATGATGGGAGGCAGACAGACGTGAATGCAAATGATAGCATCACATAACACTGTCGCCCCTCGACGTAGGGGACGCAGGTAGGGGGAGGCCCCGGAGGTAGAGGAGGGAGAGAACGGGGGAGACCAGAGACAAGGACACGGGAGGCCATGCCTCAAAGACGAGGCAGAGAGGGGTGACCAAGGCGGTGGTGCCAAAGGAGAGTCTGGTGAGACAGGAGACGACACGAGCAGGGAGCAGACTCAGGACTAGACCTGGACGCTACAGCAAACACCCGTCTTGACGCAGCGATCTGACCAGGCTCAGCAGCCGGAGGAGACTCAGTAGTGAGGGTGTACAGGCTCGACCCCGGCCAACGGGTGAACGTGGCCAAGTGTCGGCCTGTCCGAGCACACGTGCAGTGGGTCACCCGCTGACTCGCAGGAGTGAACTGGTCAACCCCCATATCCTGTAGATCAGCTCCACTCCCCAAGTTTGTAGAGAACAAGGGGAGGTAGAGACCAGACAAGGTGCCAGAGGGGGCTTCCTGACACGGTAAGACAGTGGAGAAGCAAGCAAGGACAGGAACCCCAAAGGGGTCCGCCATGGAGACCGCAACCGGCCGACTAAGCGGCGTAAGTGTGGTGCAGTCCCGAAAGAAGGAGCGGGAAGCACCCGAGTCAAGGGTTAAGGTGTGTAAGGCATGAGCCGGCGTGGTACCTGAGAGAGCAGACTCACCAACACCTGGGGTAGCAGACGCGCTAGCACCTAGAGCAGCAGCCTCACCAGCACCTAGAGGAGCAGTCTCAATTCCCGGGTCAGGCGGCACACATAGGTAACAGTCACCCTCAACACTATCAGCAACAGCATACATGGCAGCAAGAAAAGCTTCGAAATATAGATCAAAGATAGCAACCTCCTCCCTAGACAGCTTTCCCCAGTGAGGGATCTCAGAGGCCTCAGGGAGCTGGTGACGCTACGCGTCCGTCAGGCGGCCGAAGTTGCGCTGGGTGGAGTGCGGGCCCCCGCATTGCTCACCAGCGCGATCGCCGGTGCGGAGAACGTAGGTGCAGGGACCCGTACCCCCACCGCACTGACGCGCAGCGTACCACTCACGAAGCTGATGAGGGGACAGGGTTTCACGACTTCGCTGCTGCTGCTGGCGCGTACCACCACCGGACCCACTCCTCTGCGCAGAGCTGCGACCAGGACCACCGCTGCCGCCACCGCCTCAGCCACCTCTGCCGCCTCCGCTCCCTCCGCCACCGCCTCCGCCTCCTCTGCCTCCACTGCTGCCACTGACACCTCCACCTCCGCCACCACTCCCACCACCACCTCGAAACCAACCTGGTCGGCCGCAGCAGCAGAGGCAACAGAGGGCAAGAGGGGGGAGGGGGAACACCCCTCAATGACGGGGGTGCGAGGGTCACCACAAGAGGCTCCTACAGCGACTATGCTCTTCTCTGCTACTAGGAGGCCCTTCTCGAGGAGGTCAACGGTGAGAGTGGTGGGTCAAACTTAGAGGAAGTGGTCCCTGGATACGCGGAGAGAGTCAGGGAGCCGGGTGACTATGTAGTAGAGGGTGATGTACATGGGGGGGGGGGGGGGGGGGGGGGGGGGGTTCTTGGCGCAGAACTCAGCAGAAGCGCAGCGCGGTAGCGAGTGTCACTAGTGCGGAGGTGCGTAATGAGGTCAGCGAATGTGGGAAAGGCAGCAAGGTCAGGGAAGAGGTACGGTAGCATGAGGCGGCTCAATGCAGCAGTGGCAGGGGACAAGTAGCGTGCAACTACAGCGTCGTACAAGGTCTGAGCACTCTTGTACTGGCTAAAGTGTGCACGCTCAGTGGTCGGTAAGTGGCGACGCACAGCAAGGCGAGCAACAATATCGCGTGTGGCCCACTGTAAGCGAACAGTGCTGCCAGTAGTAGCAGGCGGGGCAGGAGAGACACCAGAGGTGAGATCGGACAGAGAGAGTCCGTCTGCCCTATGGCACTGGAGAAACAGCTGGAGGTCATCGACCCATACCTCAAAGTCAACGGCACGGCCCTCAGCATCAAAAGTAAGGACACTGGGGGTAGCCATGACTACAGTGGCCTAGTAGGGAGTGAGCTCACCAGTCCGAGGAAGGAGGGCCGGGGTGCACCGGTAGGAACAGTAGCGGCTCGACAGTAGGGTGGTTCTGCGGCTCGATGGCTGGGCGGCTCGGCTGCTGGGCGTTTCGGCGGCTCGGCTGGTGGGCGGCTTGGCTGCTGGGCGGCTCGGCTGTCGGGCGGCTTGGCTGCTCGGCAGGTGGGCGGCTCGGCTGCTAGGCGGCGCAGCTGCTGGGCGGCTTGGTGGCTCAGTCGCTGGGCGGCTGAGCGGTGATAGGGCCGGTAGAGGCGGCGATGTGGCCGCTAGGGGAGGGCGACGGGGCCGCAGGTGTCGGCGACGGGGCCGCAGGTGGCGGCGACGGGGCCGCAGGTGGCGGCGGGGCCGCAGGTGGCGGCTGCGTGGCCACAGTTGGCGGCGACGGGGCCGCAGGTAGCAGCGACGGGGCCGCAGGTGGCGGCGACGGGGCCGCAGGTGGCGGCGACGGGGCCGCAGGTGACGGCGACGGGTCCGCAGGTGGCGGCAACGGGGCCGCAGGTTGCGGCGTCGGGGTCTCAGAGGGGCCGCAGAGGGGCCTAGACGGGGCCGCAGAGGGGCCGCAAGGGGCCTAGACGGGGCCGAAGAGGGGCCGCAGGGGGCCTAAACGGGGCGGCGACGGGGCCGTAAGGGGCCGCAAAGGGCGCCGCGAGGGGCCGAAAGGGGGCCGCGCGAGGGCCGCAAGGGCGGCGTGAGGGGCCGTAAGGGGCTGTAAGGGCAGCGCGAGGGGCCGTAAGGGGCCGTAAGGGCGGGGCAAGGGGCCGTAGAGAGCGGCGAGAGGGGCCGTAAGGGCGGCCAAAGGGGCCGTGAGAGGGGCCACTAAGGGCGGCGCGAAGGTAGGGAGGGCACACAGAGCGCGACTCGGGCAAGAGTGAAGCGCGCTCCGGGCAGGAAAAAAAAAATTATCGTGGTGGGCCCTAGGTAGCGTTCCCACTAAGGAACCTGCTCGATACCATGATAAGAAACAAGGAATGAATGCATTGAGCAGAATGAGGAGTACAAGTAGTAAACCCTAAAGTGTTGTACCCCATATGAACTGCCCCACTACAGCCTACACAGACTATAGCATATATGCCTCACAAGGTGATCGTTCCCAGTATCTTCTAAGGAAGGTTCGCACGTAGCTAGGTAGTGTTGGTGGGCCCTTGAACTCAATAGCAGAGTGAATGTAAAATACTTGAGATGATGAAAACATGCAAATACAAAGATATAAATATGAGTACAGGGGAATTCGAATCGTCCTAGCTAGCAATGTATTCTAAGGGGTACATTCTCTTATTCAAATTCATTCCCAACCGTGCGGCGTGTACAGTTACGAAACTGTTCCCGCATGTTTCCTCTTGCCTGCAGGTGCCCGATGCCGTCCGCTCCGACGGTCCCGATCCACCCTAACCATCTGAATCTTCGAGTCAATTATGACCCTTCACATTCATTCTCGATACTGCCTGCTTCCTTGGCTGCAGTGAGGAGTGCACAGTAATGTTCATACATTACTATTCGTAATACCCCCCTTCACTCCTAGCCATAGCTTTACTTGACGTGCTTGATTACTCCGCTGAGTTCGGAGCAGTGCTGATACTGCTGACGTGACAGTCGCTTCATCAGGAAGTCCGCTGCCATGTCACCTGTTGGGCAATAGGTCAATTCAACCCTGCCTTTGTCCACTTCATCCTTGATGAAGAAGTAACGCAGCGCAATGTGCTTGGTGCGGTTGACGAAGCCAGGTTTGTTGGCGATGCGATCGCGCTTTGGTTGTCGCAATGAAGACGAAAGGTGGGCAAAGTTGGAATTTTCGCCTCCTGCAAAAGTTCCTACAAGTAGAGCCCTTCGCGAACTGCTGCCGTTGCTGCGATGAATTCCGCTTCGGCCAACGACAGGGCAATCAGCTCCTGTTTCTGAGAGTTCCACGAGATTGGTCCCGTTGGTTCGAGGCGGAACAGGAAGCCAGTCCTGGACCGTTGATTATCGGGGTATGCTGCGTATTAAGCGTCCATGTAGCCGATGAGGTTGAAGGATGGGGTGGGTACTGTTGAGTAGCATAGCCCAATCTTGGGCATTGAAATGAAAAACTGCTGCAAATCCAGAAGATTCTCAGCCATTGGTTTGCGAGAATACTGAGCTAACTGGCTCGCGATGTAGGAAAGGTCGGGCCTGCATGTGACGGATGCAAAAAGCAGACACCCCAACTGCTGCTGGTAATTCTGGATGCCAGCGGGGGATAGGGCTTTGTTGTTGGGTTTGTGGTTCGGTCCGGGAGTTCGGTAGGGAGTGGAGAGTGGTGCGGGAGAGATGTTGAAGTGCTTACCAAGCTCCTCTGCATACTTGGCCGCTGAGAGGTGAATCGCTTCCGGCGCGTAGGAGATGTTTCGGCCTAAGAACTGCTTCACCTCGTAGTTGCAAGTAATATCGACGCGCCCCGCCAGACGCTTCTCGAACTGCTCCAGTAGTTTGTTGCTTGACCCTGTGTAAAACAGGTCGTCGACGTAAACCGTGAGCAGGGTGTATTCGCCGCGGAAGTCACGGCGGTACATCCCAGGATCATGGGGCATTTGCTTGAACCCGATTTCAAGCAGAATGTTGTGCAGCTACTGCCAGAGCCTCGGTGCTTGTTTTATCCCGTAAAGGGATTTGCGCAGTTGGCACACGTGCAAGTCCCCTTCGCCGTATGTATGCGGCTGCTCCACGTAGATCACGGCGTCTACTAACGCATACAGGAATGCGTTCTTCACGTCTATCTGGCGGAGAGGCAGGTGTCTTGCGCCTGCAATTGCGAGCTGGATTCGGACAGAGGTGTGGTGGCTGACCGAAGCAAATATCTGGTTGAAGTCGATGCCATGCCTCTGGTTATAGCCACGCACCACCCAGCGCACCTTAAAACGCTTGATTGTTCCGTCCGCTACGTGTCGGTATAGTAACACAATAGATAGTTAGGAGAATAGTTCGGCCTAGGCTTAGTAGCCTAGGCCAAGGAGGATCGAGTTGGTTGTGCCAAGGGTGTCGAGGGAATTTCGGGAAAAGTGTTGTGTTCACTATAGGTTTGCAATCACATATATGCAAGTGAACAAAGGTGCACCACCTAACACAGTTTGTAATAACTACACTAACTACAGCTACAGGCATTTACAGATATAAACTCTGACACTCCCCCATAACTGCCTGCAGCAGGAGTTTGTGCAGAACACAACCTGCAGGGGTACACAAATAGCAGCAGCAGCAGGCAGGTAGGTAGGTAGTACAGCAGCAAAGGTACAGCAAGAATTCCTGCTATCTCCTCACCCTCCCCCTCCCCCCCACACTGCTGCAGAAGCAGCAGAGGGGGGAAGAGAGGAGAGATGGAGGGACGGCTGCTGGATGGTCTCACACCCGCCACTCCAGTGCCACTCCCCCAGCTCCCCCACACCCTCACACCCTCCCCCCAGCGGCAACTGCAGCAGCGGGAAAGAAAGGAGGAGGAGGAGGGGAAGGGAAGTTGGTCTCACACCCGCCATCCCAATGCGACTCCCCCAGCTCCCCCACACCCTCACACCCTCCCCCCAGCGGCAGCTGCAGTAGTGGGAAAGAAAGGAGGAGGAGGAGGGGAAGGGAAGCATACCACCCATCACCCCAACACCCGCCACCCCCATACCCTCCCCCCCACGGCTGCAGGGAAACGAAGGAGGAGGGGGTGGGCGGGGAGAAAGCCGCAGAGCGGCTACAGTTGGTCGGCGCGGGTAGGTCAGGGCCGGCTGCAGGGAGTGCAGGCGCGGGGAGAGGTAGAGGCGGTTGCACCAAGTGCAGGAGCGAGGGTGACTGCTCCAAGGGCAGGCGCCGGGTGGTGCAGGGGCGGCTGCAGCAAGTGCAGGCGCGAGTGAGACACCGCCGAGTGTGCCAGGGGCGGGTACGCGGCGGCTCAGGTAGGTAGGTAGGTACTGCACCGTTGCACGCCACGGGGCGCACGACGGGCAGGGCACCGTCGCGTGCCACGGGGCGCACGACGGGCAGGGCACCGTCGTGTGCCACGGGGCGCGCGACGGGCAGTTCAGGTAGGTAGGTAGTTTAGTTCCCCGTCGCACGCCACGGGGCGCACGACGGGCAGGGTAGATGTCACTCGCCAACCGAGGGCGGGACATTAATGAAAATCGCTACGCGACCTAGGCGCGCGACCGGAAAAGAACTGCAGCGGAAGCATACGGCGGGCCCACAGGCCAGGACGAAACTAGCTCTGATAGCATGTCGGTATATTAACACAATAGGTAGTTAGGAGAATAGTTCGGCCTAGGCTTAGTAGCCTAGGCCAAGGAGGATCGAGCTGGTTGTGCCAAGGGTGTCGAGGGAATTTCGGGAAAAGTGTTGTGTTCACTATAGGTTTGCAATCACATATATGCAAGTGAACAAAGGTGCACCACCTAACACAATTTGTAATAACTACACTAACTACAGCTACAAGCAGTTACAGATATAAACTCTGACACTACGGTCTTCACATGGAAGACCCACTTTCCCGAAAGAACTCTTGCGCCTTTGATTGTTGCGCGGTCAACTAACACCCAGATGGCACGGGATTCGAGCACCTTAATTTCCGTATCCATTGCCTCATGCCACTTCTTGTTGTGTGGTCCAGTGAGGGCTTGGCGCGGGTTTCGTGGTTCGATGACACGTGGCGCCTTTGAGGTTGCGGTGCGCAGTCCAAGCAGATGCAACCCAGAGACGGTGCTGTCGTGGCGATGCTGCGGGATGACTTCCTGTACGTCTTCGTCATCGCTCTCTGGCTCAAGTGCTGGTGGAGCTGCGCCTCTGCGGCTTCCGCCTGTTCCGCCCATTCCTCCTCGAGAGGAATCGTCGTCGTCGTCGCTGTTGTGGCGACTACCTCTTGTGAACTCGCCCCTAGTGTTTTGCTCCAGGATTTTTGCGGCGGCTTCGTCCTCGGGCGATGCGTAGCTGTGCCCATTGTTCGCGTAGACGCGGTTCGCATTTGTCTC